ATTACTACATGTTCATCCTATCCTGGATAGCCTTTCTTTGACACTGTATACTGGAAGTGTCTGTATCATGGAAAACAAGTTTTAACCACAAACACTGTGTGGAGTGTGACACTGGTGCCTGAGAGCAGAGACCATACCCAAAGCAGCTGTGGTCTTCCTCTTAACATGCTCAGTGTAAGTCACAGCACCTCAGGTCACATTTTCCAGTGCTATTTTCAATGGTCCTTGGGTAGTATTTTGAATATTATCAGCTTAAAAATTAACTGTTGCCCAAGAATATTTCACTGATTTCACTGGTGAATATCTAAGAAAATCTGAAGGCTACAGGGCAGTCTTCAATTTAATTTCTTTTTTCTTTCCTCCTCATCCCATTTTTTCCCCCTTGAAGCTGGCAAAGGCTCGAATATAGAGATTTTTTTACTGTCTGATCTCATGCCCTGAATTATGACCTCATCACTCCAGACCAATTTCTGGTAGTCATTTAGCAGTGCCTCTGCTAAATGGGGATATGTAAATTAACTGTGGGGATAGTGAAGTTAAGAAAAAGCATGTCGTTTAACTTCTAGAACCCAGGTTAAAAATTTAGTGCCAAAGCATGGAAACTCTGGGTTTTTCCTAATGAAAATGAACAAACTGAATTATTAAGACAATAAAGATGGTATTGTACACAGTTTTGCTTTTCTTATTACACAGATTCACTTTCCTTATTGAAGAGAATAGAAGTAATTGAGAAAGTAAAATGAACCACCCTCTAAAGGCCAGCCAGCTTCTCTCACCAAATGGTCAGTAGGCAATAAATAGGCAATTCAGAAGATAATTCGTTCTCTCCATCTTTGATACCCATTTCAGGAGAGAGGAACTTGTCCCTCAGAAGAAGGAAGGGATGTAGTCTTGTATGTGCAGCTATCACTGCGTAGCTTTCAAATTAACACTAACAACCTTATCCAGCCTGTTTTTTGTGACTGGAACCTAATGAAAATGCAGTCAATATTTGCAAAGGCAAAGCTCTGCAGCAATATAAGTCTTTCTACTATATTTCACCCTGCTCCACAGAACAGCAGAGGATTTTTAATTTATCCACTCAGAACAAAGTGCTGATTTGGCTCTGTGCTTCTTGGAAACCGTCTTTACTCTGCTATTTCCTGTTATTTTCTCCATTTTTGTATTTCAGAAGAGAACGGGGACTCACTCAAAATCTTTGTGTTTGTGGAATTGTGAGGTGATTCCTTGGACAGATGTAGGTGCAGTGAAGAGGGAATGAAGAGTAAAAGCACTGCAGAAAGTTTTCTCCTTTTAGTTGTGAGGCTTTGATGCCTGGAGGCCAGCACGCCACGGCGAGCAGCCGCCCGCAGCGCTGCCCTTGCTTGACACGTTCAGCAGAAGCTGCTGAATCTCGTTTCCTCAGGCTTTCAGCATTTTTCATGACGGTTCCTCCTTTCGTGCCGAGACACAAGCCGTAAGCCGGGTCGTGCTCGCTCTCGCAGATCCTGTGACACCTCACCTATGTAGGTGGCCTTATTTCAAAGCTTTCTGGATGCCAAGTTGAATTAAGTGCTTCCAGAATCTGCGGATGACCTGGCAGGAACTGAATGGTCCATAAAACCATTTGCACTTTGTTTTGTGCCCTTGACAGATCAGTGGTAGGGAAATTTGTTCACATGCCATCTGCACCTGCTAGCCTTGCCATGCAGGAATAGGTAATTTCCTTTCCAAACATGATTGGCTTCTGATATCAGTAGGAAATTGGCAGCTCTTATATGAAAACAGTATCCAGTTTCCTCTTTTTGATTTCCACTGAGATAGGAAAGGAGTTGTTATTGTTATGGTCTCAGTGCTCTGTTCAAGTTCTCTTCCCCACATAACTGCTTTTTCAGTCATTCAAAGCCAGTTTGTCAATAGCACACAGCATCATATCTTCTTCTACTGTGTATGAGATTGTTGCGAGATCATTTTTCCCCCAATATCACAGGCTTCATTCTAAACAGAATTGCACAACCTGCAGTGAAAAGATGTCCTTCTTCTTTTGTCTCTTGGTCTTTCTTCCTCATTTCTATGAAGGAATAAGAGAGTGCAGAATAAAGTGTCTAACTGGTGCTGGTGGAGGGCTTAAGAAACAACATCATGGAATTGAAGTGTACTTTTCTTCCTATTTCTTTGTCATATAAAAGCATTGATGCCAAGTGTCACTCACAGTGCTTTCAGTTTTCTTCTCAAGTGGCAGGAAGCAGTTGCAATGACTTCTTTGTAAGGGGTGTTTAAATGAGCAGATATGGAATCAGTGGTGCTGGGCAGGACAAAGGCAATTGCCTCATCTCCTGCCTCAAGTATCACCTTTGCAAAGAGCTGCAAAGGAGTTTTTTTGCTGACAATAAGATGGTGAATTTTGTTTCCACTCTAAACTGCATAAAGCAACTGTGTTGGCTTTATAAGTGATTCAAAGGTTTGCTCTCCCTTAAAGTTAGGGTAAATTTTTTGTGTATCCAATGTATGCCATGTATCTTTTTCCTCCTGTCAGTTACTGGAGATGGAGATAGAACTGTGGTTTTGTCTGTGCTTTCATGTAGAATTATTAATGAAACAGGTAATCCTATTTGTCTTGAAATCAAGGGAAAGATCTCTTGTGTTCTGTCCATCTGTTCCAGACACCAACAGCATGCTCATCACCATGGTATTGGAACAGTCTGGTACACAAATAGCAATCAGCAGTTATTAACATAATATTGTTACTTGGTCCATAAAGCTAATATTGGCAGAGATACAAGACATCACTCACTGTGAGACAGTTTCTCGGGTGATGTTCTTTGTTTTGCCAGAATATGATAATATTCTATATAAAAGTCAGTAAAAGGATGATATTTTTTTGTTTGTTTCATGTAAGTAGCAAAAATTGCCAGTATAATATAAATATATCAAAAATTTGCCTTTACATCCAGTAATTTACAATCCATTGTTATCTAGTTGTAGAGCAGCATTCTTTAGGAAATGAAACGGCTTTTTTTTTAATATGTATTAGATCAAATCAAACCACTAAAAGTTCCCCTTTCATTCCTTTTTTCTCCAGCTGCTGATATAGACTGATACAGGACTGGCTTTTTGCATGCAGAACACAATTTATTTCAAACTGGACCTAGACAAGTTCAGGTCTGTTCAGCAGGTGATCTGTAGTGCTGAAGGACTGGCATGTAATTGCAGCCCACCGGGAATCTCCAAGTCTCCCAAAACATCCTGAACACCCACAAATTTGGATGCTCCTTATTTGTCTTTACTTGCTTTCATACACCTCATTTATACATGTTCAAAAGCCCAACTTCAAATGCCTCCTTTTTGTTTGGTCACTTTTCCCTTTGATATAACCTAAGAATTTTTTTCAGAGTTGAACAGACCTTCAAAATCCCTGATATTTAAATTTCTGGTCAAAAGGAGTATATTCCTCTGAAGTGGCACATTTGTGCCAATCCAGTTAAATTAATAGCCCATCTATACATCACTTTTCTTCCCTTCTTAATCAGAATATATTCCTGGGAGACCTATTTTGTAAGCTTGTCTACAGAGACTTCTATATCACAGCAAGATGGAGCCTTTTCATCCTGCAGCTTCACAGTTGCAGGGTTGCAGCCATGAAACAAAAGTGAAACTAAGGCATTGCGGTTCCTGGGTTTTATACACAACGACTTTTGCTTGCGCTAGAAGGCAAACTGCTGCCAAATTAACATTTCTGTAAGCATTATAGTATCCATACCAGTGCTGTTCTAATGAGAGGGAACATCTTTACCTGAGCTGGTTGTGATGATGTCAGTAGAGTGAAAAACACCAATCACTTGTTTTTAAAATTTTGAAAGTTTAATAGTAATAAAATTGGCATTAAAATAGCAATATAATTAGAGTAATAAAAATTTGGACAATTTGGATTAGGACAATATGAGACAATAAGAACACAGAGTTATGGACAGTCCGGGTACCTTTTTCTGGGCAAATTAAGCCCGAAAAAGGACCCACGTTAACAGAGGATTAACCCTTAAAAGCAATAGCGTGTTGCACATTCATACACCTCATACATGATGCATAAATTCCATTCAAACAAAGGATTTTGTCTGGTCAGTGTCAGCTTCTTCCTCTTAATCCTAACGGCATCTTCAGGGCTGAGTGAGGGGGCAAGAAGTTAGTTTCTTCTGGTAAGAGAGCAATAAATGCTTTTTCTCTGAAAGATTTAGGTGTCCTGTGGCTGCTATCTCGTGCGAGTCCTCTTTTTTAAAAAAGTATCTTATATAGCATAGTTTCTATTTTAACATTATGTTATAATCTAAAACTATATTTAACACACTATTTAAGAAAATTAATACAGCATAACTTTCTAACATAACACATATAATATTCATTTTAATATTTGCGAAAAGCCAGTCATAAAATATGCATTTTTCACAGTAGGGATGAGCAGACTGTGTCAGCAATTACTACTCTTTCAGGGAACATGAAAACTTAAAATGGTCATGGTGTTGGTTCAGTCTCCATTTTTATATCAATAGCTTCTTTTTTTTTTTTTTTTAAGTTAACTACAATACCTAACTACTATTAATAATTAACTATTAACTATCACAATAAACTAATTTAAAAATGTAAATGGATTCTTAAGGATGTTGTTGCCAAATGGAGCCTTCCATTTGTTTGGAAAGGCCAACAGGATCTTGTTATAAAAAAAGAGGATAATTTCCTGCAGCTTTGTCAGGTCAGCTCTGTCTTGAACACTTTTTTTGTTTAAAATTAATAAAATTAATAGAAACTAGCTTTTGGCTCAGCTAAGGGAAAGAGTCTAAAGTACTGAGCGATTCTCATACATGTGTAGATGCAATGAAAGGCAGAGGGCAGCATTTTTATGCTGTCATTCCCTGTTATCACTCTCAGTTATTAAGAAAGTGGTGGGTAGTAACATCAACTTTGCCTCAAACATTCAATAGATGTTACTTACTAGACGAAGTGCATGTGCCCCATGTTATTTCTTTCAGGGCCTGTCTGTGACTGGATGCATGCCAGATTGTCCTTTGGGATATAGCCCAGTGAGCAGGAGAAATGGATTTGAATTTGGCAAAATGGCAATAAGCATAAAGGTACGGTTGGAACTTCCTTGGAATACTCTCTCCTATCTTATTATCCTAGGCCAGTATCTCAGTTCTCTGCAGCCAAATGCTTTGGAGCAATGTTGTGGAGAGGAATGAGTAATTTCTGACTCAGCTTGGTGCATTTATCAGGACTGAAAAAGCTACAGCTGGACTAAATGCCATGTCCACAGCTTGTTTCATGAAGCTCTTTTTGTCATGTACAGTGGCTGCCCACCAAAAGAAAATGAAGGTGCATTGCTTCAGCTTTTATAAGAAAGATCAGTGGCAAGTTGTGTTGTATCCCTGAATACAAAGTCTCCAGGGGCTGTTAGGTCTCTCTGCTCCTGTGCCTGCAATGGACATTGCAACAGTACATGTTGCCACTGCACAATCTCCCTTTGTCCTCTTCATTTGAGATAGACTGCATCCTCCTCAGTAATCTTTGAGACTTATGACTTTCAGCATAAAATGTAACCACTAAAATAGGGCAGATAGTTTTTTCTGCACAATTCTGAATGACTAGTTGAAGCAGGATTTGGGGGAAAATGTATCATAGTTTTGTAGAACTAGGTGCCTTTCAAAATAGCTGCTCAAAGTGGGGTGCTCATTCAATTCACCACGTGTTACACTGGGCACACTCTAGAAAAGATCAGACACTGCTCTGAATTAACAAGGAGGGCTGGGATCTCTGATATTGCTAATTATGTGTTCGTGGAAAGCACAGTAGCCCATTGTGCTTTCTGAACTAGAGTATTAGAACAAAAAAAAGCAGTGAAAAGTCATCACTGCAGAAGCTGTCACCCTTGTTCCCTTGTGTGCTCTATCTCTTCTATGGGGAGGTCTCATGGATACCAAAGAGGAAAGCAAATGTAATTGTCCTGATTATTTCTTGATTCTTCAAATCCCATCACACACAATAATCCTCTGTGGCTTTCTGCCCCACACGATGTTTTGATGCTCTTGATTTAGGTACAATGTTGCTATGGCTTTTGAACCACGCATTTTAGCAGATTTTGTATTTGGACATAAAAGCCTGGATATGGAATGCATATTACACAGGGCAATATTGTGTTAAAAAACAAGGAAAATTAAGTAGTTAATCTCATGTACTCAAACTGTCACCCTTTTTTGCAGGGTACAAAAGGAATCTCATTAGTTAATGAATAGAGGCAATGCATGCAGTGTGTAGGGAGTGACTGCATTTAACTATGAATTACTTGATCTTTGAAAAGATTTTTTCCTTAAGGTAAAAGGATCAAATAATTTCAGTACCTCATCTCAAATAATTTTATTTGTAGTTATTTTTCACAATAGCAAATGGAAAGTAAATAGGTAATGGTGAATTTATAGCTCCTGAAATTATATCTGTTCTCTCTCCTTTTGCTTACTTTCAGGATGAAGCTGGAGAGCTGCTTCATCAGTGCCAATCCATACTGTGGTTGGTCTCATGAAAAAGATCTTATTGATGAATTATTGCAGCTACTCTCCCAGCCATGGAAGAATGTCTCATACAAAAAGATCCATAGGTGACTGATAGGTGTGGTAAGCAGCCTGTGAGATTTGGGAGAAAATTTCTGGTATATCTAGAAATCAACCTAGATCTAACTTACCTGCCATTGTGGATATTTTAGTCTTAATTCATGCTTTTCCACCACATTTCAGAACGTGTCCTTTATCTGAACAGCTTTGCTTTCTTGTTTGTTTGTTTTTTATGTTTGTCAGTCATTACACAGTGCTATTTAGAATCAATTTTGCACCCTTCCATGTGTTGAGTGGTTGTGGTGAGTGATGATTGCAGGATTAGCCTGCTAGTAATTAAATGTTGCTGCCTCTTAGCTTGAAAATGAAACATCTCTAAGGAATTTAAGAGTTTCTTGCTTTATTTAGGTTGGGCATGTCTAAATAGTATGGGTAGGTTTACCAAGTCAGTGCAGGCACAGTGCAATCATAAAATAATAAATTAAAAAAAGCAAAATGAAGAAGGGGGAAGAATAAAGAGAGAGGAAGAAGAGAAGAAGAAATTGAGAGAAGGGAAACAAATTCAACCAATCATTAAAACTTTGAATTGCATTGGAAATTTTCTACACTTCGCTGAATCTTGGGTGTAATTTCCTAATTTTGGCTTTGTCCTATCACATAAATTTTTCCTGTCTGGACTCATTTTTACTCACAGATTGGTCTTCAAAATTTGTAAGTGTTAAGCTGTGTAAAATAGGACATGTTGCCTGTTTGTTGAAGCCTAGAGGGGTACCTGTCTCTGTAAAGCAGAGGCTGAGTTCCTTACCATTTGTGGACCCACCGAATGCTTGATTTTTCATATTGGCTTTATCACTATGAAGAGTTTTCCTCTTGAATTCACTGATTTATGTTCTAAGCAGAATGAAGCCCTTTTTTATTTTTCTCAAAATCTGCTACCAAAAATCACATTATTTCAGCATGCAAAGACAGTTCTTTGCTTCTTCAAAGACTTATTAGACTGATCTGTCCCATGCTTCTCACAGGACTGTAGCAGTGTAACCTCATATGATACAAATGCTGAGCTTCTGTTTGAAATAATAGGGATGATGCCTAATCCTGAACAGACATCAGAAGGATTTTAAATAAAGGTTGTCACTGAGAGGCCTGTAAGCTGCCCTCACTTAGTTCTGTCTGGCCTGTGTCAGGCTGAAGATGAAGGCATTTGAATGTCTTAATAGAAGCAGAGCGTGAGCTTTTTACCTTGAGCTCTTGTTACATTTAAGGATTCATGCTGAATAACAATAATAAAAGATTAATCCCATCTGGTTTTCTGTTGATTGTTAGTTTAATTTAGTGTATGACGACTCAAAGTTTAGTCTGCCAGCCAACGAAGGTATGCAGTTATCAACATTACTGATAGGATAAACCAATTATGTAAGCTTATTTTCAAATCTCCCCAAATCCCATAATACTTAACCAAGTAAAACCCTTGAGCTAAAATGGACTTGTTTACAGAAAGGTACAACATCAAATAGAGATTTCATTCAGAACTTTGGGTAGACTAATTGACCTTGTTGGCTGCTTTTTTTTTTTTTCCTCTGTTGCCTTTTTTAGGTATGAAATATATCAAATTGAAAAGAAAGTATGGACAAGAAAAACACAGTTGTAAGAAAGAATTTTGAGAGTTTTCAGAAAGACTTCTTTGCTTGCAAGTTCTGAACAGTATGTTCTGTGTCTTGAGTGTATAGTTAGTGCTGCATCTTTGGGCTGTAACAGTATTTCCCAAACCCTGTGTCTAACCATTGCCTTGGCAGGACTCCAGACTAATCCTGTGGGGAGAGGAAAGTGCCTGTGGAGCTTGGCAAAAGTTGCTTGTCCTTTCCTCCTGAAGATATGCATTTGTTCCTGGGTAGTGTGGGAGGTGGCTCCTCCTTCCTGCATTTGTAGCCACCATGGAAACAGATAATTCCAGAAGACAGTCTAATAATGCAATTGCAGACCCAAATTATAGAGGTCTGAGACTCTCTCCCGACACTAAATTGTACATGCATCTCCTGACAGCTAAATTGTACACGCATGTGCAAGCAGTGTCACAAGCCTGCTCAGAAATGCCCCAAACCAAGTTAGACAGAGACTCCAAGGGCTGAACAGGATGAGAACATGCCAAGGGCCAAGAAAGACAAAAAAGCACAGAGATTCAAAGTTTAGCTCATGGAAAGTGTGAAATTTTATTGTCAATGTCAGGCCATGAAACAAGGGAGGCATTCTGTGGTTGAATTTCATCTTGAAGGTCCCTGTAAGCATGCAGTACAGAAAGTATTGAAGATGCTGTGCAAGGCAGGTGTGTAAAAAGGATGAGCAAACAGAGGAGGATCGTGAGCAAGGAAAAATTGAGAAGAAAGTTTTTGAAAGACGAAGAGGTCAGAATAGAGCCTGGTGGCACAAAAGCTGATAGGGAAGAAAAGGGGCATGACAGCAGAATGAAGGCTGAAAGAAAGCACAGCCATTGATTTAATTTGCTGCTTTTCATTGGAAATGTATCCTTTTGCCAGTTCTGGGTGCCATGCACATGTGTAAGAACATATAAGCTTTTCAGCTTGCCAGGGTGAAACTGCCTTCCAGAACTCTGGTGTCAAAGGCACCTACAAGAGCCAATGAAACAACCTTCAGCATGAAATCAATGTCAGTATTCAATAACATCCGGTGCCAGGCAGGGAGATGCCAGCCCAGCTGGGTGAGTATGTGCCAGAGCATTTGGACGGCAATTGGCTGATGAATCGAACTCTTAAGCAAACATATACCTAGGCAAAGAGCAGAGCAGCCAAATTCCAGGGAGCACTGCCCTGCTATCTCCACTGTGTTGCAAAATCCAGTCAGGTGAGTCAGAGGGAGAAGACAGCCCCAGGCAGTACCTGCAGGGAGTACTCTGACCCCCACTTGTGCAAACCTTGTGTTTCTGGGCCCTTTTCAAATGTGCTTCCAGGCAGGACTCTGCCCCGATGTCTGTGAGGAGGTGAACCAAGGTCTGCAGCAGGAAAAAGGGTTCATTTGCTGAAAGGAGATGAGTGCTGCGAGCAGGACATCAGGAGACAGCACCCTCAAAGCCCAACCTCCTGTTCCAGAGTTGTGGTCCAGAGTCTGAGCTGTCATTATAAAAACAAACAGGCCAGATCCTCAGCTGGCACAGAGCCACAGAAACTCAGCATAGTAGCTCGAGCTGCATGTTTTTTATTGCTTGGGGCACTGAAGATTATGATTGAAAAGATGCCCACGATGTCACAGATGAAGGAAAGTGTACTGAATTTACCAGCAGCCTTAAGTAAAAGCCTAAGTTGCTTAATTTATCCTTGGAATCATTTTAGCAGTGAGCTTTTTTTACCTTTCTTGTGGGTGCTGTCATAAATGGCCTGTGGGAAGAGTAGAATTGTCATATCTGGACATTTTCAAGAATATCACTATTGAGATTCATATAGATGCAGCTGAAGCAGAGGAACTTGAGTAGATAATCTCCTGGAGTCTCTTCCAACCTTCTTTTCTGCATGATTTTAGCAAATCTGTTCAGTTGCTGTCCTAAGCTGGCAATATCACTCTGCTTCCAGAGGCTTGTGTCCCAGAAACTCCAGCTCCCAAACCCCTCTACTTCCTCCATGGCTACTCATACAATATAAAATGTGGTTTTGTCATTTTTGCAAAATATTGTGAAATCAAGATTTGAACTGTAGCAACAGTGTGAAGTAAAACAGAAAGATATCAAAGTTAATAGGTAACCTGCTTATTACAGTGTTTTGTGTCCTGCTCAACATTATTTTCTACTTCAAATTTGCCTGACAGTTGCTCTAAAAACACAAGTGTGCTCACAGCAATACTGAAGCAAACTAGGCTTGAAGAAAGGAACCAGAACAAGGAAAACTTCTAGTTCTCCAAAAGAGATGTAGCTCACCACAGTTGGACATCTGCTCCCAGAGCATCCTGCTGTCACTTCACATCCAAGTGCTCCTGACACTCCACCCTGCCTGTACCTCTTGTCTCCTGCCTGTGACTGGGACCAACGTGAAACCTTGGGCTCCATTCCCCTCGCTGTAGGAGGGGAAAGCACAGGCCAGATGTCCAGCCAAAGTGAGAGGTAGAGCTGGACATGAGCTGGTTCCTGGTGATTCACAGACCACTAAATTCCCTTAAAGCTATGTGTGATAGTGGACCAGCTCCGTTGAACAGTTCCAGAATACCATTGTCCTGTCCATGATTATTTTCCAGATATCTTACTACGTCTGAGTATGGGTACATTGTACTTTCCCTCCCAGGGGTACCACAGGTCCATCAGCAAGTTCTCCCTTGCCCTTGAGTTCCTAAATCAAGAATTAATAGGAAGAATTTGTTGACACCATTTTAGGTGTGCTGCCAGCACATCTGAAACGGCCTGGTTATATTGTCTAAAAAACACTGGTAGCTGACAAGTCCTGCAGAGAAATGATGCACATGGGAGGACTGTGAGCGAGGCGAGAGAGACGCTGCTGTTGATAAGCTGCAATCAGTGTTTGTTCCCCAGCACTCCCAGGACCCAAACAGCCAGTTGCAATGTTGTGTGCTCCTGGTGCCTGACCTTCTCCGGAGGCTGCTGTGCATCTGTCAGCCTGACAGCTTCCCACTTCACGGACCAGACACTGAGAAGGGGGAGGGGAAAGGAAAGGCAGGAGGGCAAATAAATACCTGTATTACTTTTTTTCCTGATTTTACACATAGTCCAGGGAAAAGGACCTAGCAGGGGGCAAATGATTTCTGAGCACTGCTGTGCTAACATGACAGCTTTATGGAGAGGCAGTTCTGGGTCAGGAGCCCAATTCCTCCTACCTTTGGTTCAAGAACTGTTACGCAGGGGAAAGAAAGACATTTCCAGGGTAAAATTGTGGTAGGGTGCCAGATAGCACAGCTGAAACCTTCCTTTGCCCTGTGATTGTGTGGTGTGGTTATATAGCTTAAAAATATGGATGATTTCCTAAAAAGTAAGGGCAGAAAAGAAAGGCAGAATGGATCCTGTGCAGGCTGGTGCTCTCTGCAGGTAGTCCCATCCCAGTCTCACTGCCAGCCCCGTGACAGGGGGGGAACTGGGGCTCTGTACTGCTATGCAAAACCTGTGCTCATGCAGCTGTAGCATTTCTCCTCCACCATCTGTGCTACTTTTCCTCCTTCCTTTCCCCCTTTACAGCTGACTGCTTTCTCCCTCCCATCCTCTGTCCACTTGTCCCCTCATTCCTCAGAGCTCCTCTGGGAAGGGCCTTTTGTGGCCTGGGGAGGAGAAAGATGGGAGCAGGAGAGGGCAGATCACCTGAGTGGAACCAGGAACCAGCAGAGTACAACCTCAAAAACATGAGTTAGTGGGTCAGGATGCTGCCCCAGGGTGGACAGGACTGAGGAAGTTGCTTAGAGGTGGAGCCAGTCTGTGCTCATGGCTTTTCCATGGCTGCTCTGGTAGAGCACTGCAGTCCAAGCCGAAGGAAATTGTGCAGCTGATTTTACTAACAGGATGAAATAAACCTCTCTTTTCACAGGCAGAATTCAGCCTGAAGGTACATGAATAATGTCCCCTGAACTTGCATCTGATACTGCTCCCTGCATTAGATCCTGTTAGCGGGGAAACAAGCGAGGCCCCTCTGACCTCCCAGTGGTTGGTGGTGTTCAGGACAAACCACAAATAACCCCTGAAGGCAGGAGGAGGGACAGGACAGAATGTGGTAGAGGGGTATAAATCATCACTGCGATTCCAGATAGAAACCAGGCAGGGGTCCTGAGCTTGCTCATCCAGTCAGACAGGTACCCGTGCAGACAGTGACACAAAGCACCAGGTGACACCACAGCAGCAGGTGACCTCAGCCCGCCGCATGGGAAGCAGAAAGCCCCGCTGCAGCTCCTGCAGAGCTGGAGGAGACCCACTCCTTCCCTCGGCCCTCACACCCTGCAGCTGTGGGCTGCTACAGCTGCCACGCTGCCCGGACAGTCACACGGATTAAATATGCTTTTAGACATGGAAGCTGTTATTTCTATGAAATGAAACAGCTTCCCACACTCTTATTGACCTGTGCCCTACTTCAGAAGTAAATCTAATTTGGAATTTCATAGTTAGCTGGTGCTGATGTTGGTTTTCCCTGTGTCTTCTCTGATTTTGTGGGTACATTTAGCAGCGCCATATGTGGCAGAGTCCTGCTTATTGTGGCTTGTGAGCATCACTCTTCACAACAGAGTAAGGAATTGGGGTGGTTGGAGCTTTTTGTTTCACAGGGGTAGAGAAGAGTTAAAGCACATACGTTTAAAATGTCCCTGCAAAACCAATTTTTG